CACTGAAGGTGTCCGTACACAAATATATAATATCAAATTGTTAAGTGCTGTGAAGGAAACGAACAGGATATGTGTATGTGTGAGAGAAGAACTATGAAAGGGACTTATAATAATAGTAATAATCCTTAAAGGAGTCTTCTGATAGATATGTCCTGTCCTTATCATCATTTTAACTTATGAGGAGATGGAAGAACAGAGAGATTATGTAACCTCCCCAAAGCCACACTTTAGAAGAATCATAGATCATGAGAAAGAGCCTTCTATATATAGTGAATAGCACTTGCTGTGGCCTTGAAAATGAGAGAAACAGGTATACACACACACCCACACATAGCACATCTTGAAGGCCAGTGTAGCTGAACTATGATAATCAGGCAGGGGAGCAATAGTAGATGATGTTGGAGTGGTAGGCAGGGGTCAGGTCATACAGTGCTTTGTTGGATACCATAGGAAATTTGGATTTTATCCAAAGTATATGGGAACCATTCATTGAAGGAATTTTAGCAGAAGTGAAATATCAAATTTGAGTTAAAAAAAAAATCTTCTAGTATGTATGTCAAGAACAAATTGAAGTAGGCAAGAGTACATGAGGTCAGGAATGCATTAGCACAGTCCAGGGGAAACCTCATGGTGTTTTGGTAGCAGTGGAGATGGAGAATTTTTTGAAATACATATTCTTCAATTTTTAAAATTGAGTTACAACTTATTACATAGAAATTACTATTTTAATGGTTTATAAAGTGTATAATTTTGTGATTTTCGGTATATTTGCAATGTTGTCACCTGGCTTCTTTCTCTTAGAAATGTTATGCCTGGCTTCTTTCTCTTAGAAAAATATTTTCAAGCTTCATCCAAGTGGTAGCATGTGACAGTACTTCATTTCATTTCATGGCTGAGTAATATTCCATTGTGTACATTTCATTTATCCATTCATCAGTTGGTGGACATCTAGATTGTTTTCTTTTTTTTTTTTTTAAGATTATTATTTGTATTTTGAGAGAGAGAGTGAGAGAAAGCACAAGCAGAGCAGGGGCAGAGACGAGGAGAGAAAGAATCGCGACCAGGCACTCTTCTGTGCCGTCAGAGTAGAGCCCAACGTGGGACTGGAATCCACGAAGCACGAGATCATGACCCGAGCCGAGATCGAGAGTTGGGCGCTTAACTGACTGAGCCACCCAGGCACCTCTCCATCTTTTTTAATGCTTATGTATTTATTTTGAGAGAGAGAGAGTGGAGGAGGGGCAGAGAGAAAAGGAGAGAGAGAATCTCAAGCAGACTCCATGCTGTCAGTGCAGTGCCTGACCTGGGGATCAGTTTCATGAACCATGACATCATGACCAGAGCTGAAATCAAGAGTTTGACGATTAACCATCTAAGCCATCTAGGCACCCCTGTTTCCATTCTTTGGCTGTTATCGGTAATGCTGCTATGTACACTTATGTATATGTTTTTATGTGATCATACGTTTTCAGTTCTTTTATAAGTACACTTAGGAATGAAATTGCTGAGTCATATGGTAACTTTATGTTAAGTTTTGAGAAACTGACAAACTATTTTTCCACAATGGCTACATCATTTTACAGCTCTGCCAGCAATATATGAGGATTCCAACTTCTTCATATCCTTGCTATCTTTTCTAGTTCTTGCTATTAAAAAAAAAAAAGTATAACCATCCTAGGGTGAAGTGGTGATTTTGATTTGCATTTCCTTAATGAATAATGAAGTTGAACACTTTTTCATGTGCTTATTGACCATTTGCATATTTTCTTTGGAGAAATGTCTATTTAAATTATTTACCATTTTAAAGATCAGATGGCTTGTCTTCTTAATTGCTTAGTTTTGTCAGGCATATGATTTGCAAATATTTTCTCCCATTCTGTGGGTTGTCTTTTCACTTTCTTGAGAGTGTCCTTTGAGGCACAAAAGCTTTTTTTTTTTTTTTTTTCTAATGTTTTATTTACTTCTAGGAGAGAGAGAGACAGCATGAGCAGGGGAGGGTCAGAGACAGAGGGAGTCACAGACTCTGAAACAGGCTCCAGGCTCTGAGCTGGCAGTCAGCACAGAGCCCGACGCGGGTCTTGAACCCACGAACCGCGAGATCATGACCTAAGCGAAAGTCAGACGCTTAACCAACTAAGCCACCTAGGCGCCCCGAGGCACAAAAGCTTTTATTTTTTGTAAAGTCCTGTTTATGTCACTTGTTGCTTTTGGTGTCATATTAGAGAAATCATTACCTAATCCAAGGACATGAAGAATTTCCACCTATGTTTCTTTCTAAAAGTTTTATAGGTTTAGTCTTAAATTTAAGTCTTTGATCCATTTTCAGTTAATATTTGTATATGGTGTGACATAGAGGCCTAAATTCATTCTTCTTTAAAAATATTTTTGTTCCTTATTTTAGAGAGAGTACAAGCAAGGGAGAGGGGCAGAGGAAGAGGAAGAAAGAATCTCAAGCAGGCTCTAGGCACAGTGCAGAGCCCTACATGGGACTCGATCCCATGACCCTGGGATCGTGACCTGAATCAAAATCAAGTCAGATGTTCAACCAACTGAGCCACCCAGGCGTTTCTAAGTTCATTCTTTTGTATGTGGCTATCTAGTTGCTCCATTTGCTGAAAAGACTTTTTTCTCTTTTTGAAATATATTTTGGAGTAGTCACTACAACTTATAAGGGAGGAGAAGGCAGGAGGAATAAAGAAGAATCAAGATTACTGATATAAGCAGCTGTGTTACTGGTGGTAGTATTTACTAAAATGAGTGAGAGTGTTGTTATTTGGGGTGAGACAGAGTAAGGGATAGTGAGAAGTTCAGATCTGAATTTAAGTTTAACTTGTCTGTGATACTTTTCTGCCTATTGTATAGACAGCTTGCTGTCTGGGACTGTGCGATCACTTAGGAAAGAAATACACAGAAAGACAGACACAAGAGAGCCCAATCTAGAGGTCAGGGAATGCTGACAAATAGACTCCTGAGGCGAAGGAATCTGCAAAGGAGACAGAATCAGAGACCAGAGAGGATTGAAAAAAATCCACGAGTATAGGTCATGGAAGTGAAGAGGGGAGAAATTGATCATGTAGGAGAAGGTGAAAAAGTCAGTGAAGGAGTAAAATCCTTGTGAAAATGAGACCCAAAGGGACACAGAACATAAGTAGAGAGCTTGCCCTTTAATGAAATGAGTGACACTCTGGTGTAGGGACTGTGTTGTTAAATCCAGGTAAGTTTGTGAATTTATTGTTAGGAAGTTGAGTTCCTTTATGAAAGCTCTTATTTTCTTCATGAAGATTAAGAATATTTCTCTCTGTTGGAAGTACATAAGCGAAGGATAGGAGCTGAGGTCAAGGCAGGCTCACGAAAAGTAGGAAGGGAGAAGGAAAAGTATGTAGTGGTGGTCTTGGCATGAGGTGCAGGTTGGATCAGGAGATGTAATAGGCTTGCTATACAATATTGAATGTCTGTTTGGGATTTATCATCATGAGCTTAAAGTCAAATCAGTCTGTGCAGTTATATGGTTTTTCTCCAGCACTGTTTAGCTGGGGAATGCAGAGGGTTGGGGTTCACCAATTGTTGGCATTCTGCCAGTTGAGTCCCATGCAGGAAGAGTGTCAAAACTGTATTTGCAAAGGAATGCGTACAGCAGTTGATCAAGTAATCTGGAGGCTGGTATGGGGAAATAAGGGTGACATCATTTACAGCGGTGGATCAGTAGGTTGTAGGTTGAAGAATTTGGGGGACTAAAGTGAGATGAAAGTATATTAAAGTTATTCAGTGATAGACCTTCTAATTTGAGATTTTGGAGTTGGTACAGATCTCTGGTGTACTCCTGGCAATGTGTGATCAAAGGTGGAGTAGATGAAAAGGCAAGGGATGACATAGTCTAAGGATCGAGACACTTGGATGTTACATGGATTGTTCCTTTAAATGGAATTGCCAAGAATGATGACAGGTGTTGGGGTGGGAATCAAGACTCTTCAGTGAGGGAGGAGCATTACCAAAGGTTGGTGGGTAACAGAAACAAAAAAGCAGGGAGAGAGGATAGTGTAGTCAGAGGGCTTGGGTCTCCAAGGAACAGGGATTTTTGCCAGAAAGGAGAAGTAATAGTTAGGGACTAGTGGGGATAAGAATGCCATACTCAGCCTCGCGGATTTGGGGGTTAAAAAAGAAAAATGCAGAACAGTTTTCTGGACGGCAGAGGAAGCAAGTGTCCTTAATGACCAGCACATTTCAATTAAGACTAAGAAGTGAAGGAAGTTTTTTTGCTTTTTTGTTTTTTTAAAGAAGTGGTGTATGGAGGTTTGCTGATTAGTGTAGGAATTCCATAGGGGAGTGGAAGTTTCAGGAGAGAGAGAGTGTGTTGGAAGGATTGAGGATCTATAGAATAGTGTGGGTATAGTAGTTAGGGACAGTAATGGAAGACCAGCGACCCTTGAGCCTCAGTGCAGATGACTGAAATAAATAGGAGTATGCATAAAGGAATAAGGCCCTTCACCCCCACCCCATCTCTGAGAAGGCAGGCCCTTGGTGTCCGGGCTGCAGGCCTAAATGATTCCTCACAGAGTAGGCAGCTTCCCATGCCACTTATCCCAAAATCTCAAGGAGTGACGTGGTAGTTTTCAGGGAGAGCAGCTGAGGTCAGGGTCTAATGGTGATTTGTCCAGGGCCACAGTGAGTAAGTAGCAAAGCATATCTCCTGACAACCAAATATCAGGTCTGCTCACGACTCGTAATTTGTTTATTTTGGTTTTAGTGCTCATTTACCATACTGTTAGCAGAGCTGGGTCTCTTAGACCATTAGAAAATGAAAATTCAAGGGGGAAAAAAACCCTAAGAAGTAGACAGTGTTTCTACTCTGGAACCATTTCAGGCTCTCAGGCAGGTCTGAGCCAAAAGGATAAGAAATGGCTGTGCTGCATACGGGCTCTGGTGACCAGTCATTGCGACCCAGTAGAGTCTGCGTGACCGTGACCGTGTGCTTTACTCTCATACGTGCATTCTGTCCACAGGGTCATGTCGGCACAACAGCAACCAAGAAGATCGACGTCTACCTCCCCCTGCACTCGAGCCAGGACAGACTTCTGCCAATGACTGTGGTGACAATGGCCAGCGCCAGGGTGCAGGACCTGATCGGGCTCATCTGCTGGCAGTACACAAGTGAAGGACGGGAACCGAAGCTCAAGTAATCCTTCCTCTTTTTGGCTGCTCTAGTTTCTGCCTGTCTCCGGGCCATCCATGCTGCATTCTGGGCCCAGTCAGGCTTTCTAGGCATTGGCCTGGGAGCCAGACATCCACACGGATCCAGGTCAGGCTGCTCACCAGATCTTGGGCCTGTGTATCCCAGGCTTATCTCAGAGAATCTGTGTACCGAGTAGACTAATGAGTTTGTGAATCCAGACATGAGGCACTGTATCTTAGTGGTTTTCAAACCCTTTTATGACACTTGCTGATAAAAGTTGCATGGGAGGCAGTAGGAGGGGACTAATATTGTTGAACCCTTACCATGATTTGGGCAGTAGTGCTGACCTCTCATTTAATTCTCCCACCTCTTATTCTGCAGAGCAGGAAACTCTGAGTCAGAGAATTGATATTTGCTAAAGGTCACACCAATGGGACATGGCAGAGTCCAGATTTGACTCGCGGTCTGTTGGATGCTAAGGTTTTTGCATTATTTCCTTTAGGTCTGAATGACAGTTTTCCTTGTTGTTAGTGGCACAGTTTTCTGTCAGTCACTAAGCTCTATTCATGATTAAACAATTATATTAAAAATGTAATGCTTCAAAGTAGAGTGTCTGCCTGCATATCATATAAAGTCCCTGCAAGTCTTATCTGGCAGCCACCCTCTTCTGTAGTAGGGTTTACAGTACAGCAAAATGTACTGGGTGCCTTCATTTTGGAAATGGATTCTCATGGAGACTTTCTCTTCTCTTAGAATGGTTCAGTCTGTATTTTTTCTTCTTGAGGTACATTACATTTGCACTTAAAATTATTTTTTCAAGTTCTCATTGACATTACCCTCCACTTTGCCTGAATACATTGTGAATATAAAGATAATCTTTACTGCTCCTTTGACAATAGAAAGCCTTTTCAAGCACCTAGGCTCAGAAAAAGGGTTGAGTCAGCAGCTCTGCCTGAGGCTGAGCTATAGTGTTACCCCTTTTTCAGCATGAAGTGGAAACAAGAAAACAGGGAAAGAAGTCAAAGTGCTGGTGACTTTACGTATGTTGTCTGGGTTAATCAAGAGATTGCTTAGTGCAGGCACTGAGACCAAGAGACACAAAGGACTGCCCAGGGTCACACAACTAGTGAAGAACAGAGGTGGGACTGAATTGTGATATACATGTTACAGATGAGGAAACTAAAACTTAGATAGCCTAAGTAACTTTTCCTAAGTCACACAGTAAGTGGTAGAACTGGTATTAAACCCTAGGGATCCCTGGGTGCAGAGCGCTGGCTCTTCACTATTACATTATACCCGCTCTTACTATGTATGGGTGATATTAAAACATTCCTTGAGTTCCTACTGACTGCAGGCACAGTGCTAGGTCTTGACATCCAGAAAAGAAAAAAGCAGGTCATGCCATCAGGGAGCTTACTATCTAAGGTAGATAGGCAATAGTAGTAAAGTATAGTAGCATGTAAAATCAGGTTCTGTGAGGATGTCTGATCCCATATTTGGGGATGGGAATGGAGTCATGAAGAGCCACCTTGATTATACAGCTAAGCTGAAACTTGAAGGAGTAGGGAAAGTGATACAGAGGGGTTGAGGAGGGTATTCTAAAACAGAAGGAAAAGCACGGACTTCTGTTATGCTGGTCCTTCACATTCAGGCTTTAAATTCTGGATTCTGTTCCAAATACATAGCAATGATAAATGAAATATGTTAGTGACATACCTGTACTTGAATAACAAGATCGACATCCCGGTAGGCTAAAAATGGAACCAGGTATGGAAACGGGCAGTGTGTGTAGGGAGTTGATTCTTCTAAGGTGGTACTTTCCAAAGAACATGTTGTGAATATTTACCAATGAAATATTGATTATTTTCAGGCTTTGGGGTAGCTAAGCAGGGCCTGGGGTGGTCACAGCCCCCAGCTGTCATTTCTGGGTGGGGAAGAGTCTCATCCATCTACCCGTGTATCATACACACACTATTATTTTCTTTTTCTTTCTTTTTTTTTTTTTATATTTTTATTTATTTCTAGGAGAGAGAGACAGACAGACAGCGTGAGCAGAGGAGGGTCAGAGAGGGAGGGAGATACAGACTCCAAAATAGGCTCCAGGCTCTGAGCTGGCAGTCAGCACAGAGCCCGACGCAGGGCTCGAACCCACGAACCGCGAGATCATGACCTAAGCGAAAACCAACTAAGCCACCCAGGCGCCCCATACTATTATTTTCAAAGTATGCCATGATGTCAGAAAAGAGTGGGAAACACTGCTTGAGGGTATAGAGACCAAAGGAACTTTGTGCGTGGATAGGGATCAGAGGAAGTCTCACTGTTGGAAACTAGGAGCTGGGGTGGGACTGTCCCACATATGAAAAGAAACTGAACAAAGCTAACTGGCTCTGTGACTTCTGGAGTGGTAGGGAAATAAAGATAGCAGTGTGACTGGGACTTGGCCATGCAGGACATGACTGGGTTTATGATCTCCCTGGTGTTTCCAAGGGAGAGGAACCCTGAGCTGACGATATAAGACCTGTTTGTATGGTGGAGGCCTCTGCTTGATGGGGATGGAGGATGGTGCAATAACTGTAAAAGCAGGGAGGCAAGGAGAAGAAGGGAGGGAGAGAGGGGAAGAAACTGTTCTTATTCAAGAAGAGCTAGCAAATTAAAATTCTTAACCAAACGAGTATAACTAGTACTAAGAAAGATAATAATCATGAGATAAATTCACTCCCAACAGAAAATACAGTAAAATAATCTGAAAATTGACTTCAAATAAATATGTTTAAAGTCATCAAAGAGGGGCGCCTGGGCGGATCAGTCGGTTAAGCGTCCGACTTTGGCTTAGGTCATCTCACGATTCCTGGGTTCGAGCCCCGTATTGGGCTCTGTGCTGACAGCCAGCTCAGAGCCTGGAGCCTGTTTCAGATTCTGTACCTCCCTCTCTCTCTGACCCTCTCGTGCTCACACTGTCTTTCGCTGTCTCTCAGAAATAAATAAAACATTAAAAAAATAATAATAAAAAAGTCATCAAAGAGATGAAGGAATAACATCCATGGTAAATTTCTTGGAAATGGTGAAAAGCAGATGAGAATTAACTAATTAAATAGAAGAGAACCATTTAAAGGCACTGGAAACATAAAATGCTGTTATTAATGTAACAACAACAAAAGTGTATGGGATAAACTCTGGACTGGGCACACTTAAGAGGGACTAAGGTGAGGGATACTACCAGTGATTTCAACCTAGGATGTAACACTAACACAAAGAGATAAAGAGATATAGAGAATGAAATATGAGTAAGTTAAGAGACATGGAGCAAAGTGGAGAGCCTCTCACTTGTGAGGCAGAAGGTGGAGGGAATCGCAAGGAACACTATTTGAAGAGATAATGCCAGAGTATTTCCCAGAATTGGAGGCAGATGCAAACTAGTCTTCATATTAAAAGTACATACAAATGAAATGGATGAATTTTTATAACAAATTATGCTAGAGCAATGAGGCATCCATAAACCAAAAAACCTAAGCCTCATATACCTTGTATAAGATTGATTCAAAAATGAATTGAGACTGAAATGTAAAACTTTAAACTTTTAGGAGAAAGCAGCAGAAAATCTTTGGGACCAAGAATTAAATGAAGAGTTCTTGTATATGATACTGAAAGCAGGATCCATAATAGAAAACGGATTAAAAACAAACAAAAGAACTTTGCCTTTACAAAAGATCCTTACTTTCTTTTTTTTTTTTTTTAATTTTTAAAATGTTTTTATTTATTTCTGAGAGAGAGAGAGAGAGAGAGAGAGAGGCAGCGTGAACAGGGGAGGGGTCAGAGAGAGAGGGAGACAAAGAGGGAGACAAATCTGAAGCAGGCTCCAGGCTCTGATCTGGCAGCACAGAAACCGATGCAGGGCTTGAACCCACAAACCGTGAGATCATGACCTGAGCCGAAGTTGGACACTTAACTGACTGAGCCACCCAGGCGCCCCAAAAGATCCTTACTTTCTTTCCACTCCAGAAGCTGTCAGACAGCCATTCTGCCTTTTCCTTTCCCATGGGGCTAGTTTCAGCTTTACCTGGTCAAGAGAGACGAAGAGTGGGGGTGAGGTGAGGAGATGGGCCTGTTGCAAAGAGTCAAAACAGTAGAATTTAAGGCAGAAACATATCAATAGGGATATTTTTGTCAACTACATAATGAAAAAAGGAATGGCCCACTGAGATAATATAATGCTTCTGACTGCATATACACCTAGAAACATAGTTGCAAAATATTTTAAGGGAATTGTAAAGCGGCATTGAGTGATCCAGAGTAAAAATGTGAAATTTTGGTGCATTCCTACCAAAAACTGATAAAGAGATGAAAAGTAAGTGAGGATGAAGGAAGATTCAAACAATTTAATTAGCAATTCCAAACCCCTGAAATAGAGATTATCTCTTGTACTAGTTTGTAAGCCTGTGAAATTGAATAAATCTTACTAATATTTATATTCCTGAGGTATCTAGCATGTTCACATTTTTTAATAGTTACACTGAATCTGAATAAACCATTGATCTTTTGAAACATTTTACAATTCTTATGTGACAGTGGATTTCTCAGTTTTGTTTGGTATAAGACAATCTATAAAATAAGTCCCTGGGATCTCTTTCTATCAGGCAGTACAGTGCAAGGTATTTTCTTTATAGCCTATTTGTACTTAAGTGTTAGAATAGATCCTTACATGATCTTTTCCAGTGGGTTAGCCCTGTGAAGAGCTAGCTGTTCATTCACAGGGGGCCAAATTACTGGATGCACGGTTTCAGTCTGGTTGTTAAGAAAACGATTTATTTAGAAATACTGTTCTCCTGTCTCTGTGCCTTGAAAACTGCCAGTGGTAGTAGGCTTTGGCCCCAGAGAAGGAATGGAGGATTTGGCTAGAATTTTTGGCTTTCTTTACTTATACCTGTTAACACTTGAGCAAGATGGAATGTGGTACTTTAGCCAATTTCCTGTTTATTTTCATACCCTGATTTTAGGGAAAAACT